GAGAGAGAGAGAGGGGGAAGGGCAGAGACAGAGCAAGAGAGAGAGAGAGTCCCAAGCAAGGCCCCACACTGTCAGCATAGAGCCCAATGCAGGGCTTGAACTCATGACCCATGAGATCATGACCTGAGCGGAAATCAAGAGTTGGAAGCTCTTGATGAAGTCCCAATAATTTGTTTTTGCTTTTAATTCCCTTGCCTTTGGAGACGTGTGGAGCAAGAAATTGCTGCGGCTGAGGTCAAAGAGATTGTTGCCTGTTCTCTCCTCTAGGATTTTGGGTATCCACCCCCCAAACCAAAAGCACACTGTATACACTGTATGTTAGCCAACTTGACAATAAATCATATTAAAATAAATAAATACAAAAATAAAATAAAAAGAAGTTAAAAAAAAAAAAAGAATTGGAAGCTCAACCAATTGAGCCACCCAGGCACCCCCTTCTGGAACTCTTAATAAAGATTTATGTTGAAGCCTGCTAGTATAAGTGTTTTTCCATGTGTTTTCATATTTAAAGAAAACTGTCTGTGTTGTGTTCTGCATGAGTTACTCAGCACTGTCTTCCAACTTGCTAAGTCCCTCTTCTCTGGTGTCTAGATTACACTTATTTTATCGATTTTTTAAATTTGACAGCAATATTTCATTATCTTGAAGATTCCTAAATATGTTTCAAATCCACCTGCTCTTTTTCCGTTTTTATGTGTTTCATATTTTCTTGTTCTATTTAGATAGAAGTTATTCTTTTACCTCTTTGGGCATGCAATATAGAGTTTGGAAGTCTTTTTAAGATTGCTTCATAAAATTAATTTTGTTTTGAATGAATTAATTTTTTGTGTGTGATCATTTTTTTGTTTTTTTGGAGGGAGAGAAAATGCAAGCAGGGGTGGGGCAGAGGAAAAGGGAGAGGGAGAGAGAGAATCTCAAGCAGGCTCCATGCCCAGCACAGAGCCCAACATGGGGCTCAAACCCACAACCGTGAGATCATGACTTGAGCTGAAATTAAGAGTTGGACACTCAACTGACTAAGCCACCCACGCGTCCCTGCATTCTTTCTTAGTATCTTTGTGGGTTTGGGCATTGTTACTTGATTCTGAATTTGTGAGTTTGTATTTTTTCTTCACTCTTTCCATATCCACGTGGTTTCCGTAAACCCTAATGGTTCCATAGCTGCCTCTAGCTGCCCTTACTCTTCTCCATCTTGTAGTTCAAAACTTGAACTTGAAATGGCATTTTGAGGTTCCTAGATGGTGGTAATAATAGGGACACCATATCGAGTCACAGCTGGCAGTTTGGTCTACTTCCAGGTCAGGGAGCTGCACTGTGTCCTTCGGCCTCTGCTAAAAGCCGTGATCCAAGGGGTTGAGCACTTTTTTCTGTCCCCTTTATTGAGGACTGGGGACAACAGAAGTTGGGACTGAAGGTTGGAACCTGAGTTGGTCTGATTAGTTTTCTATGTTTAGATTTATATTTACTATTGATGTGCTTTTGGAGCAGAGTGGGTATGTCAAAGTTGATCTGAAGCCCTAAATAGCTTTCTTATCACTCTCTTCACTGCCACACCCAAGTTCGGGCCACCATACCTGTTGCTGGCATGACTGCGGCATTATCCTAACTGGTCTCTCTGCCTCTAGTCTTTCTTTCCTCCAGTCCATTCTTCCCCCTCAGGCCGGGGGATTGTGATAAAATGTAACTCCACTCACACCACTACCCTGCCTCTGTTGTCACAATCAGTAGCAGAGATGGTGAGAAATCACCAGCCCAACGTGGAGAAGGAAGCAAGGAATCTAAGTTGCAGGTTCTTAGTGATTCCAGGCAAAGGAACATTAACTCATGTCTCGTCATTTAAGATAGAAAAATTCTCAAAAGAATGAAAATGTTATTACCTCCCTGAAAATGTGGAATGATCTCAGGACAAGGCAATAGATCAGAAACATTCTCTCGATCCCATGTAGAATCGACACCTTCTTAGGACACGTGACAATCATTTAGAAATCAAAACTAATGTGATCCGGTTGGTGACTCCAAAAGTTAGGAAGAATAGCTAGATCATAACGGAAGCATTTAAACATCCACTCAAGAAATAGCTATTGAAAATTTCCCACTCACAAGGCACTGTGGAGAAAATCAGATGTGTAGATACCATCTACCTTCAAGGATCTCACAAGGTACTAGGCAAGGTGACATTTACAATTAACGACCAAAAATATGTGTGTTGTTGTGGGTCGGATGGTGTTCCCCAAAAGATATGTTGAAGTCCTAACCCCCAGTACTTTAGAACGTGACCTTATTTGGAAATAGAATCCTTGCAGATATTGTTACTTAAGACGCGGTAGTACTGGAGTAGGATGGGTCCTTAATCCAATAGAGAAAGACGGATATGGACACAGGAAGGGAAAACATCATGCGACAATCGAGGCAGAGATTAGAGTGATATAGTACCAGAAACGGGCAAGGACTATCCTCTATAATTTTCAGAGGGAGTACAGCCCTGCCGTCACCTTAATTTAGGACTTCTAGCCTTCACAACTCTGAGGCAATACATTTCTGTTGTGTTAAGCCATTCCGTTTGTGGTACTTTGTTACGGCAGTCCTAGGAAACCAATACGTGTATTATGAGCAAAACGCACAATGGAAATGAATCATTCCCAGATTAAGAATGACTTCTAGAGGACATGGCATTTGTACCGAGCTTTAGTGGGATGATTTTTATATACAGAGATGGCAGGGAGGAAAAAGGCTTTAAGATATGGTCTTGCCTGTCAGTCCAAATTCCAGCCTGAAGCCTAAACCTCCTTGACAAGCCTCTCTGGACAAGAAGCTGAATTTGCCCGACTTTAATGCCTTCAACCTGCTGTCAGTTTTGCCACTAACACCACTTTCAAGACACAGAATCTGGGACAACAAAATATTTCCCACATCCTTTATTGTTTCTAGCACCGGTGTGCGGTGGTTAAATATTATTTGCTCTCACTAGCTTTTTATCACACCCATAAAAGGGGGAAATCCATCTCGCGGAGACGTGGAGAGCAGTAGCTAATGAAAATCTTAGTCTAACCAAAATAGACATGAGAGCAACTGGAAATGCGGCGTGGAATAACTCGTCATGCTCCTGACCTTGTATTATGATGTCTTCACAGCGATGCTTCAGGGTTGTTATGACTACAGGCATCATTTAGCAAGGTGCCCCAGTTGTAAATAAATTCTCGAAGATTCAGTAGTCGTTTGGGGGGCAGGGAGCCCGTAGTTCCCCCACTTCTCACAACCCGATCTTAAATTTGGGTTCCAGACCAAACTGCCAGATGCTACATGGCTTCTATACTAAATCTCAGGCAACTACCAGTTCCATCTTCGAAAAATGATAACGCCCTGGGGTCTGAGGTCGCCCCTGGGCACCTCCTCCTCCTGGGAAGGAGGGATCGATCAAAGGGGTGTTTTCACCTCTCAGTTCGGCCTGCAATACGGAGCGTATTACTTCCAAGTACAGGGGTTCCTAACCTGAGATGTCATCGTAAGCATCGGAGGAGCTTAAAACAATACCCATTCGTCGCCCGCACTCGAGGGGGGCACGGTCTGCTCCTTATCGGAAAATGGGCCCCGACCAGAGTCCGCAGGACCCCAGGGGAGCAAGTTCCGTACTTCGTGGCCCGAGGCCCACGACCCGGCCAAGGAAATCATTCCCAGCTGCCCCCCGACGTGAGACGCAACCCACGAAAGCCACGTCCTCTCCCGCGCAGCCATCCAGGAAGCGTCCGTCGCCGCGCGCACCGCGCGGGGCTCGCCTCCTTCTCGGCCGCAGCGGCCTCCCCCGCCCCCCGGGCCGGTCCGCACCCAGCCCCGCCACGCCCCAACGGCCGCCGCCGGCGCAGGCCCCGCCCCCACGCCCGGGCCCCGCCTCCTCTGGCGGCGGGAGCCACGCCCCCGGAGGCGCGGCGCGCGGAGGCGGGGCGGGCGTGGGCGCGGGGGCGGGGTGGGGGTGGGGGCG